CCCATCCCGCCTTCAGGTACAAGCTCTCCCTCCTCTGTGAGGGCAGATCTGCGCATTCCCCCCCCCCACAGCCAGCAATCCAAAACAGTCCAGTGGCACCTTTAAGACCAAGTTTTATTCAGGTACAAGCTCTCCCTCCTCTGCGAGGACAGAACTGCCCCCCCCCCAGTAAATAAAATAAATAAATAGCTAGTAACTGAAAACAGTCCAGTGGAGCCTGACCAGTGGGTGTTGCCTTCTGACACACTTCCGGTGATGACAGGGGGTGTGGCATATGCAAATAAGTTGTGCTAATAAGTTATGCTAATGAGCTCCTGCACCTCTTTTTCTACGAAATGACCCCTGACCGTAACCATCCCTCTGCTTAGATGGATATAGATAGTGGCCGGCTCATTATGCGCCTACCTTTACAAAGTATTTTCTGAACAAATTGCTTTCAAAGTAATGTGCATCTTACCAAAGTTTTAACAGAGGGGGCTTTTTTGAGGGGATTGATGGAGAGAGAATACACTCTACAATAAAAGCTGTACCTAGGGGTTCCCAAGCACTGCCTCTGCAAATGCTGGGAGACCTGAGGGGAGGGGAGAGCTTGGGGAGGACATGATACCATGTCCAGGTGCCACTCTAGGCTGTCTCTCATAGCCTTTTTGGCCTTTACCACAGACACTTTGGAAAATTCCAAGAGTGTCACTAGGTGGGGCCCATTTTTTCCCATCCACTCCTCAGTCGCTCGGGGGCAGGAAACTGGGGCTGGGCAGTTCCTTACTCTGTGGGGAGAAATGGGAGGCCTCCTTGCACCTTTCTAAGCCCACTGACTTCGATGGACTTATACACACTTTACTTTACTTTACTGATACTGCTCTTACAGCCAATTCGGCTCTGAACAGTGTCACAGTAAGACTAAAAAAAGAAGGAAAATTTATTGAACACATATGTCAATATAATGTACAATTATATAATGTAAATTAATCAACTGAGAAAAGAACTTGGCAACCGCCAATGTAATATTAAAATCTACCCCTGCTAAAAGAAACCTCAAATTATCCAGTTCACACCTAGAGTCCTGAATTTAGGGTTTATCTCTTGCATCAGTAAGCAAATCACAGTCGAATAGACAATGTTGAAGGGTGTCTAGTTGGCCAGAACTGCATTGGCAGCGTCGCTCAGAGTAAGGCACCTTATTTAAGAGTCCTGATAGCTCCCCTGATGGAATAGCTGGCATAAATAATTGTTCATAGCAGGGGTGTCAAACTCATTTGTTATGAGGGCCGAATCTGACATAAATGAGACCTTGATGGGCCGGGTAGCGGAGATATAAACTTTATAAAGGACACTAACACAGGGGTTTCTTTCACTTAAAATAAAAACATGTTTAAAACATTAGCACTCTTGCAATATTTTGTTTATTTAAGAGTGTCTGATAACTGACACCTCTTGCTCTGAATTATTGCATCAAAGTGTCTGTGCTGTTGCAATCTTGAGTATGCTGTACAGGTGAGTATCCGTAAGCTGCAAACCTACAATGACGCAGCAGCAGCAGAACTGGAAGAAGAAGCAGAAGGCAGCCAGTTCCACTGTGGGCCTGATAGAAGCCCTCTGGGGGCCTGATCTGGCCCCTGGGGCGCATGTTTGACACCCCTGATCTATAGCGTGGAACTGTCAGGAAATCAAAACAGGCTGGAAGAGACTGTGGTAACATTAAACCTAAAAATAAAGGTGAGCACACTCTGCGTGCTCTTGTCATGGTACTTCTAGTATCCAATTCTCCAGACAGCATAAGACTTATACACAGTTGAAAATAAATGCATAAAATTACAGCAGAAAGGAGGAGCCATTCCCCACCCGTTTTCCTAAACAGCCCAGAGCTGAGATGGCTCATTTCAGCCTCTGGGCCGCTGACCTGGAAGGGTGCAAAGAGGCCCAGAGGCGGCTGCCCTCAGGTGCCAACTGGGAGTGATGCCAACCTTGGGAAGGGCCTGTCTGTTCCAAGAGCCGTCTCTGGTTTCGGATAGGTAAAGGTTCCCTTGCTCGAAAGCCAGTCAAATCCGACTCTAAGGTTGCGGTGCTCATCTCTGTTTCGAAGCCGAAGAGCCAGCGCTGTCCGAAGACGTTTCCGTGGTCATGTGGCCGGCATGGCTAAACACCAAGGTGCACGGAACGCTGTTCCTTTCCCACCGAAGTGGTACCTATTTATCTACTTGCAATTTCTTGCTTTCGAACTGCCAGGTTGGGAGGAGCTGGAACTAGAGACGGGAGCTCACTCCGTCATGCGGCACACTCAGGTCTCAAACTACCGACCTTCCACAGCCTGCAGTTCAGCGTCTTAACCACTTGAGCCACTGCAAGTTTGGAATAAGGTCACTGTAAGAACAGCCAGCTCGGATGCCTTAGATTCCTCACCCGGAATCCCACTGACCACGCACATGCTACAAACCCCCTCCCAGGACCCCACGTTTCAGTCCACCTCATGCATCGTCTGCTGGGGAAGCCATTTTATTACGATGACGACGAATGTTTCAAACATTCCTCTGTACATGCTTGCAAAGAATACAAAAGTCACCCGCGGCCTTGTCAACAGGTAAAATAAGCTCTCTCTAGGGACTTCCATAAAAATAGCAACTGCTCTCTTATATACAGGTTTCTCTACTTGTCAGTTAACAGAGACACTAAGGGCGGAGTTACATGTTCCAGGAAGCACAAAATTACTGGGTGAAGGGGGAGAAGTGTGATCACCCTTCGCAATGTGCTTTCCCCCCCTTGCCAGTCAGTGACATGGAAGGGGGGGGGGATAGAAAAAGCCAATCCGAATGTGGTGTGGAAATACAATTTTCTGGATGATACATTGTGGAGAGGGGAGCTGAATGCAGGGCTGCCATTTTGGATGGCAGCTCTAATGACCACCTGGCTGCTGCCAAAAGTGGAAGCTGTGCATTCCTCTCCTCTCTCTGCAGCGGACTGTTCGGCCAGTTGCGTGTCCAGACAATAGTCATGACCAGGGCTATTTTTGGGCAGGAACGCACAGGAATGGAGTTCCGGCTGGCTCCCGAGTTGGCCACGCCCAGCAGGAACCCATTAGCATAATAGGCCACACCCAACAGCAGGAACTCATTAGGATTGGCTACATTAGGGGTGTGTGGCCTAACATGCAAAGGGGTTTCTGCTACAAAAAAAGGCCCTGGGTTTTGACAACAAACAAGGTAAACAGAATAACAAGCAAAAGGTGGGTGTGGCTGGATGACCACACTTCTGGTAACATGGGGTGTGGCCTAATGTGCTAATGAGATGTGATGTCAGGGCGTGGCCTATTATGCTAATGAGTTCCTGCTGGGCTTTTTCTACAAAAAGAGCCCTGGATGACGGATTTTTGCCTCCCCCCCCCCCTTTCTGAAGAATGATGCAGTTCTGCCCTTGTAGAGTTTAAGAAAGGGGGGCTCCCAATTTTGGGGACCCCTGAAATACAAACTTTTTAGGAAGGCAGACCCAGATCAGCTGATTAACGTGCTCCCTTTTCCACGCAGGCAGTGCAGACCGGGTATCTTCTTTAGGGGACTAGACCTGGTCTTGTCAGCTGACGTGCAGTTTAAATAGCCCCTGCATACACTGCAGGTTGTGACAGTCATTCCTGCATCTTGGGTTTCCTCCTGAAAGTGCTTTCCCCCTTTTGGTTTCATGGCTCTGCTGAACATGGAAAAAAACCCCAACACTGGGCAAGTCTCCTGGGTAGGGTTGCCAGACCCCGCCCCCTGCCGCCGATCAGCTGACTGGTGGTGGTGGGGGAACTTACTAGGCCCAGGCTACGTTGCCAGTGATGTGGCAGCATCACTTCCAGCATGTACTGGAAGTGACGTCATCACATCAGCAACATTGTGGTGACCTTCTGGTATTTGGGCAAAGACTCTATGGTAGAAGTCAGTTTTATCATTGTTGGGAAACGAGCTCACGCACAGCGTGCAAGGAAGACGACTCCGTTCAAAATTTACAAGCAGGAAAAGCTGCAGCAGCAGAAACATGATAAATGAAGACAACTATATATACACACATACACACACACACAACAGCAGGCACTACTGAATCCAAACAAGTGTTCCAAACCCAAGTCAGTCTCCCCATTACAAAAAATAAAAATCTCTCCTCAAAGATGTTTGAAAATAGGATTTCTTCCAAGGAGGGAAAAATACTGCCATTTCACCTCCCCATAAAGATATTGGTCCCAGCCCAAAAAATTAATGCTTAAATTCCACCGTTTGCAATGGGGGAGGGGGTATGTCAGGTGCATAAGCGATCCGTGCCTCATATTCGTTGGTCATGGCTACAATCCTTACCAGACTTCTGAAGTCTGTGGAACTGAGGAGTCCCTGCAAGTGGGAAAGGCCATCCCAAGGAAGTCACAGAGTCTGAAGTGCCCAGGTTGGAGTCTGGTGTTGGGTGTAGCCGTCACATGTGAGTTGAGGGGTCTCCTCAACTGCTGCGTGTGCGGTGCCTGATGTGGGTCAGAACCATAGCAGTGTGGAGAAAGGACTTCAGCCCTTCCCCTCACGCCATTTTCGCAATCTGGAAAAGTCCCATGGAATCCTGGGGGACTGTTTCACATTGGGAAATGAGTTCAGAGGAGAGGGCTTAATACTGTTCTTTGAGGTCCTGATCCAGAATTGGGCACTGCACACTTGAGAACTGAGGAGAACCTGTAACTCACGTCTGACTGTGTTACACAGGTTGGGGACAGGTCTGACGCAACCTGCGGACAGTGGGCCCAGCCCGAATATCCCATAATTTGTGAGGAAGACACTAGCTTGCTTAATGCCTGGTTGGCATTGTGTCACACCAAAAACCCACAAAACATTATGTTGACCTTTCATGGCTTCCATTGGCCACAATTCACACATGCACGTGATGTGAAGAAGGGTTCTGCCTTTGATGTAGGTGGCTAGATGAGAGAATCCAAACATTAGTGAAAAGGTTGCGGGAGGCACCCTTCCGGTAAGTGTCTTTTAGCAGCAAAGGGAACAGCAGACAACACCCCCCTCCTCCCGCAAGGCGTCCATATTTCTGGAAAATGTACGCAGTGTCAGTTTCCCCAGTTTTCTGCCCATTCAACCTTCTCGCGGGGGCTGCTTCGTGTCGGTCCACCGCCGCTACCTTCTTTTCCTCATGCAGGCCTCGAGCCTGCTCAGTTCTTCGTAGGACTTGTAGAAGACGTCGAAATCTTTGGCCCCCCAGCCTTTCCAGACAGCCACGCAGTAGTCCGTGTCGTCGCTGCTGAAGCAACAGGCAACCATGTCCTTCGCCAGGACGGCCGCATCCACCAGGGACCTGGGACAAAAGAAGTGGAGGGTCGGAGAAACAGGCGAGGGGCCATTCCGCAACAGGTTTGGCTGCGACTCGGCGGAAACTGACGCCGTTAAGAAGCCAAGCTGCAGACAAAGCCTGGTGTGGGAAAACCCTCAGGAGAAAAGAAGGGCACAAGCTTTGTCAGCAGAGAGCCCCACAAGGATATACACTTATTTGGTTGGTTGGTGGAACGAGCTCCCGGAGGAGATCCGGGCCCTGCGGGACCTAATGCAGTTCTGCAGGGCCTGTAAGACGGAGCTCTTCCACCAGGCGTTTGAGTAGGAGCCGCCACTACTGTACCATCTTTACCTGGCCCTGGAAGAAGAAAGAACGTCGGCATTACGTGGGACAGAAGACACTGAGTGGTAGAGCAGCAGTAATTCGTCATCTCTATAGAAGATATATGGAAACATCTGGAGCACTTTATATTTGTAATATTGTAGAATGTTTTAAATGGTTTTAAATGTGTTTTTATGTGTGGGCTTATGCCTGACTGTAAGCCGCCCTGAACCCGCTTGCGGGGAGGGCGGGCTATAAATTGAATAAAATAAATAAATAAATAAATAAAAAGCACAGGTTTCTTGTCCTTTTAGGCCTCTTATGCATGGGTGTTCTCCCTTGCTTTCACCATGCATACCCGTTGGGTTTTCTCTGTCCTTCTGCACTGATTTCCCTCCCTTCAGAGCTCAGTTCGCTTTTGGCTGCTGTTTCCCCGGGATTCCTGAGAGTGCTTTTGTGCTGATTTCCCCCTTGTTTCCCTTCAAAGCCGACGGTCATTCGAAAGCGTGCAGATCGCCTCGGATTTCCCCCCCTGCCCTTCCGCCACCCCTTGAAGGTCACTCCCCTGCCCACATCGAGGTTGTTCTGCCCACTTTGCACCTCCTGCCATCCTCCCCCCTTCATCGGTGTTCCCCTCATTTTAAATTTGTTTTTTCTGACAAGCAGCACGAGTCTAGTGATAGGTCTCTAGTCTCAGATTGCTGAATTTAAAAAAATTTAGAATGATGGGGGAAGTTTAAAAGGGGCTGCTCAAGGTTTAGTTCCCTGCTGGTATGGACTTGAAAGGGGGATCGGAGAGGAGGTGGTGTCCCCAGTGCAAAGAAAAGAAAAGAAAAGGATTTCAGTGCTGCAGGCAAACAAAATAAAGGGGGGGATAGTCGGCCCGGAATGAAATTGACATGAAAGGGAGAGACACTGGGATGGGAAGCCTGAAGCTTTGAAAACATTCTTCCCTTTCGTGCTTTAGTGAACAAAGTTTGGGGAGCGGGACCATTTTGACAGTCTCCAGAAGCCTAACATTAAAATGGCGACTGAGCCACATGGACCTTCTGCCAACTGCCAAACTTAAGGATTGCTTGGGATTGATCCATTTGGAGGAAAAGTGCAATCCGCACAGGACAGGCTTTTACAAAATTGCCAAGATCATGACCAGTGTGCAGGATCAAATTACAGAATCACAACGAGAAAAACAGGCAAATTTGCAAGGAAGTGTAGGAAATTAGCATTACTATGCAGCTGTGCTAGGGCATCGGCGAAAATTCTTCCCGTTTTTTTTTTTCAATTTAGTGGCACAAGACTAAAAAGCTCTCCAGAGCTTCTGCTAGAGGACTCCTTCCCCATATAAAATGCAGGCCTGTGCAAACCGTGGTGGAGTTGCAGCTGACTTTGCACAGGCACGCACACACACACGTAGCCAACGATCACAGCTTGCAATGCCAGTGTCAGTGGGTTCAACCGTGCATTCTATAGACTCAACAGGTTCCCCCCATATTATGAGATTATGTGACACTTTCCCATTTTTCACAGTGACTAATAACACACCAGAAAATCCCCTCGTGCTCCCCAATATGGAAAATGGGGTTTCACAGCTGCTTGTCAGTTTCAAAAAAGAAGAAGAAGAAGAAGTCTGGTCATTTTCAACAGTGGGTTTTCCCCCTTTGCCTGCCTTCCTTTCTGTTCCAACTAACACTAAAATGCATGCGCAAAACCTGAACCACGAGGATTTAAATAGAAGGCACCTGCTGGACACTACTGCACAGCTGCAAAAGGGCAATTGTGTAATTTTTTAAAAAAAATTGGACACCACCCCCCACACGTCACAAGCGACGTTCCACCCTGATTTAGAAAAGTGTTGTTTTTTAAAAGTTGTAGCTGCAGAATAAACACTCGGGAGGAAAAAGAATGGTGTGCATAAGGCAGGGACAGAATCCGAAGTCAAGATTTAAAGGCTTAGTGCTCTGAAAATCTGCAGTAAGATGTGCGTGCGTAATGGGCCTTTGTGTGTGGGCAGCATCTGCTGAATTTTTACAAGGCAGAGGGGAGCCATCCAGCGTCCAGTGTTTGGAATCCAGAATGCAAAATATATTATGCAAAACAGATATTTCAATTGTATGCAAGTCTACTCATTTGGCTTTGATTACTCAGGTAGCAGAATTCGATTTTGCTTTGTGCAAAGTCTGGACAGCTCAGATATTAAAAAACAAAACCCTACCCCGTAGTTCATAATGCTTTGCAAGACTGTCCAGTTCCTCCCCCCTTCTCACAAACACCACGCGATCAACCTGCTTCGTCAGAAATTGGGCAGCAGATAAAAGTTACCCCTTATTGTCGGCCAGCTTGTTGGTTTACCTAGAAACTCTGTGAAGCCCCTCCCCCATTTTAAACACAAGCCACTGTTTTCTACAGAGCTGAAGGGAAAGGAAAGCCAGCCCTATCTGCTTGGTAGGAAGTCACGAAAAGAGCACCACACGTGGCAGGAGATACACGGCCTGTCTCAAACAAGGAAAAAAAGAGACTCCCTCTGTCTTCCCCTCTTTGAGAGGGCCATTTTATGGCACAAGCCCCGTCTGCACATTATGAAGTCCTCGTGTTTGTTGAGTGCCCTTTTCCCCCTCATGCAGAGCCTCAGTTTTCTTCTCACCAACATTCCCTCCTCAGAAAGCCTCATGGCGCTGCTACCAGCTTTGTCCGTGAAATCACGTTCCCTCCCCAGCAGAGCCGGTAACAGTTCTAGGAGATGCCTTTGAGAACTGTGAATGGGGATGACTGGGGGGTACTGTTCTCAGACAGTTAAGTTTTAAGAGTTAATAAAAAGGAAAAAGTACTTAAAATGTCTGACTCAGTTTATATTGATCTAAATGAAATGAAGACTTGATGCAATGAAGCTAGTGAGGATCACCTCTCTTGGGTTTTTAGTCAGTAGTGGGTTTCTATACTTTGTCCCGTATATGTAGTCCCCCTTCCCCTTTTCTGTGATAGTTTTTGTAGTTTGAAAAAAATAAGAAAAAATCCCCTCTGGGGGCTCAAATAAAAAAGAGAGAGATGGTTTAAAGGGGAGGAAACCGCACAGAGAGGAAAACTCCTTGGTCACAGGCCTGCCAATCCCTCGGTTGGGCCACAGAATATCCAGACCCCGGCTCCTGTTGGCCTCCAACGCTCTGAGCAGTGGTGGAAGAATAAAATTTAAATACTATGATGCACTTACAGTGTTGCATTATTTCTAGTAAAAACCAGAAATGACACAGGTAGCTCTATGGACATTGGATGGTGAGACCACAGAGTTTCCAGTAATTCCTAGAACTACCTATGTCACTCCCGGTTTTTTTTTAACTTGAAATGTCGTGACACTGCAGCTGATGCCATGCTCCCCCCCCCAATACCCCCACTCACAGTCCTGCTACCTGGTCACAAAGAAGAAAGGGCAAACCCCCTACTGAGAGCCAGTTTGGTGTAGTGGTTAAGTGTGCGGACTCTAATCTGGGAGAACCGGGTTTGATTCCCCACTCCTCCACTTGCACCTGCTGATGTGACCTTGGGTCAGTCACAAGCTCTGGCACAGCTGTCCTTGAAAAAGAGCAGTTTCTGTCAGAGCTCTCTCAGCCCCACCCACCTCACAGGGTGTCTGTTGTGGGGAGGGGAAGGGAAAAGAGTTTGTAAGCTGCTCTGAGACTCCAAGTGAAGGGCGGGGTATAAAGCCAACCTCTTCTTCTCTCTTCTTCTTCTGAATGCCTTGTTCAGTCCTTGTGATGTTGCTCAACAAACAGGAGGACTTGGTAACGTGTAAAGAGGCACGAAACTGGCGCTCATAGGACAAGATGATGGGGACCCCAGATCCAACCTATGAACTTGGTTGCGGCCATACATGTTTATGGATCCCCCTCTTGCCCCATGGGCATGCAGTTCCCAGTCTGGATCAGGATACAGTGGGCATGCAGGAGGAGCTTCGGGCTCCTTCCCCTCTGCTGTTATCCCAAACAGAAGCTGTGGGGGCGGGGCAAGCCAATTGATCCACCGCAGTAGTAGAATCCGTGGTCTTCCACAGTGAACAGCTCCTTTCTGTTTGGGGTGGCCGTGCAAGAGAAAAGGCCTGAGGCCCCGCGGTCTGATCAGGAGCAGGAACAGCAGAGGAAGGGAGGGGAACGTGTAAATCACGTATGACCATGACTACCTCCAGGCGAGGCCTGGAGCTCTCCCAGAATCACAGTGATCTCCAAACGACAGAGATCTGTTGCCCTGGAGGGAATGCTGGCTTCTGATGGTGAACTCTACGGCATTATGCCCCGCTGAACTCTCTCCCTCCTCCCCAGGCTCCAACCCCAAAGCTCCAGCTGTTTCCCATCCGAGAGCCGGAAACCCTAACCGCGGCACTTGAGTTCACGGGCAGGGGCTGGGGTCCCCCCCATCTCCTAGCCCGTGACCTCAGTCTTGTGGAAATCGACCCTGATCCTTAGAAATCCCCGCACGGAGCCTCAACACTGCTTGGCTGGGGTCTTTATGTGCATGAAAGCACAGGCAGCTAGGGGCTTTGTCAAAATCCGGTGATCCCGCAAATTATTCCGAACTCTTACAACATTAAGTAACTCACTCTGGATCTCCCAGAGGGGCAACAAGCCACAGAGGGCGCTGAAAGTCTTGCTCAGGTTCCCAGTTTCGAGCCCATCTTGGCCACTGCAAGGACCAGAAGTCTGCTTTTTTAAAAAAGTGAAAGTGAAAGCTGAGAGTCTTAGGAAGGAGCCCTTTCAGCCACAAGGCTACGCCGGTTGCAAAGCCCTGCTTATCGCCAGTCAAGCCATCGTCTTTCGAACAGCAGCAGTGGTCCGGTGTTGCCGTCGGAGGCCTTCACCAGCCTTCTTACAGGGAAGACCTGAGATGTTCCCCCTGGGCTGTGGGTCCTTCCCAGAACCGCCCCCTTTCCCGCTCCCCCTTACCCGTGGGGAGCCAGCTCCGCGGCCTTCAGTACAGCCAGACCGAAAGTCTTACTCAGGTGCCCAGTTTCGAGCCCATCTTGGCCACTGTAAGGACCAGAAGTCTGCTTTTTTAAAAAAAAAATTAAAAGTGAAAGCTGAGAGTCTTAGGAAGGAGCCCTTTCAGCCACAAGGCTACGCCGGTTGCAAAGCCCTGCTTATCGCCAGTCAAGCCATCGTCTTTCGAACAGCAGCAGTGGTCCGGTGTTGCCGTCGGAGGCCTTCACCAGCCTTCTTACAGGGAAGACCTGAGATGTTCCCCCTGGGCTGTGGGTCCTTCCCAGAACCGCCCCCCTTCCCGCTCCCCCTTACCCGTGGGGAGCCAGCTCCGCAGCCTTCAGTACAGCCAGCACTCTCCCCCGCTGAGAGTGGCCTTCCTTCTCCAGGCCGATCACAAGGATATCGCCGCCTCGCCTGGAAAGGGAAAGTGGGGGATTTCCGTTACATGCTGCTGGAGGGGGGGGGGGCTCATTGGGAAGAAAAATCCAAACTTTAAAGACTTCCTTTCCCTAGAGGAAGACCTTTGAAGTTTCTGCAAATGTCATTCCAATTTTATTTTTTTTAATCTGTTTTTCAAGTTGGGGCTCACAGCTGTGATTTATTCCTCTGCTTGGAGTCCTATCAAGTTGCCTTTAAAAAAATAAAATAAAAATAAAAAAATTAAGTCTGCTAAGTGAAACAGGGGTTTTCTGCAGATATTTTATGCAGTGCCTCTGCTGTTTCAGGAAAGGGGCTTGCAAGGGACCAAATGTGATTCAGCAGTCAGCTCAAGCTGCGAGGAATACACAAAAACGACAACCGCTTCAGAAGGCTGGGCGGACCATTGAGAGGAGGGGAGGGGGGAGGAGAGGGGAGAGAGAGAGGTTTCTGGGAGAAAAGTTACAGTACAGGCTCCGCCTGGGCTGACAGCCACAAAGGGGGGGAGAACATGGTTCAGTGGCAGAGCATCTGCTTGGCACGCAGGAGGCCCCAGGTTCAATCCCTGGCATCTCCAGCTAAAAGGACCAGGCAGTAGGTGATGGGAAAGACCTCAGCCTGAGCCCCTGGAGAGCCCCTGCCAGTCTAACTCTGACTGCCAGTACTGACTGTGGTGGACCGATGGGCTGATTAAGTATCAGGCGGCTTCATGAACGTTCCTGTAGAAGCTGTTGCAAGTTCTGCTCCAGAGGGGGCTCCCCTGGCACAAGCAAAGGTACTCTGAGGTTGGTTTCCCCTCTCCTCCACAGAGCAAGTGGGGAGCGCAGGCTGGATTCTGTGCCACCATCCACGTGTGTCTCGTGGGTGCTACCCAGATATGCCACAAACCTCCGCTCCCAGCCCCATAGCCAGAAATTTTTGGCTGGTGGGGCAGGGGCCGGAGCACTGGGGCAGGGGAGTGGGGAACTTAATTAGATTACCCAACAGCATGTGGGGTGGGGTAGCAAAGGAACTCTCTTTGCTTCCCCATCTCTCCCCCCTCCCACAGTGGCAAGGAGGCTGGGGGAGGAAAGGGAAGGCCCGTTGCCACTTCTGGTCAGTTTCACTCCCCTCTGATCAGCTAGTTAGGTTTAACACTTAGTCCAGGAGTGAAACTGACCAGAAGCAGCAGGGTGGCTTCCCTTTCCTCCCCCAGCCTCCCCACTGCTTGCCGGGGAGAGGCACACGGGGTGGGGGGAGTCTGGGATCCTCCTGGGGTGGGGCAGGGCAAGTCCGTGGTGGGGCTCTGCCCCCAATTGCCCCACTGTGGCTACGGGCTTGGGCACTCCCATGGGGTGTGTGTGGCTTGGCCTACAGGTGGCGGGGAGGGGAACCCTTGCACTGTGAGATACTTACAGGGCAATCCTAGGCAGAGCCATATCCTTCTAAGAGAGAGAGCCAGAGAGAGCCAGTTTGGTGTAGTGGTTAAGTGCGTGGACTCTAATCTGAGAGAACCGGGTTTGATTCCCCACTCCTCCACTTGCACCTGCTGATGTGACCTTGGGTCAGTCGCAAGCTCTGGCACAGCTGTCCTTGAAAAAGAGCAGTTTGTGTCAGAGCTCTCTCAGCCCCACCCACCTCACAGGGTTCTGTTGTGGGGAGGGGGAGGGAAAGGAGTTTGTAAGCCACTCTGAGACTCCCAATCCAATCTCTTCTTCTTCTTCTAAGCCCATTGCAGTTGACAAGCTTAGAGCGGTTGTAACTCTGCTTTGGATTGGACTGTTCAGTGTTTTTATAGCGTTTTAGGTGTTCAGGTGCCCTTCATGTGGACAACAACCTTGTAGGGTAGGATGGCAGGTAGAAACTGAAAGGAGGGGGAGGTGTGTCAAACTCTGCTCTGCTTAGTTTGTCATGGCTGTAGGGGGGGGGAGGGGAATTCCTGAGGGGAGGGGAGTGACCGCTGAGTGTGTGAATCGGGCTGTCGTAGAAGCTGTAACTTTTACCGAAGAAGCCTTCCTCCAGGAGGAACGTCCTTGAAACCTTTGGTGCCAACTTGCTAGGGTAGATAGTGGGATCCTACGTTTCCCAGGGGGAGTGGGTGGACCACGCAACGGCTAGGCAGGATGTCTGCAATGTGTGATTAGTTATTCATGTCAAGGGGGCCCTATTTGAGTTACCTATAACTGTATCTGTACCCGCCAAACTCTCAGTTCTGACACAGTACTGTTCTGGTCTGGATTGTGTCTATTTCTCAATAAACAAATCACTGCCAAAAGAGTGTTGTTGAGAGTAACCTGTCCAGGAGCCTGACAAAGCGTTTGCCTACAGTCATTTGGGAAGCTCAGGCCAGAAGCATGACTTGAACAGCTGAGTCTCTTGGGCGAATCACACACTCTGAGACTAACCTGCCTCACAGGGATGTTGTGAGGATACAAGTGGGAAAACAATAAGCCGCTTTGGGTCCTCACGGGGGAAGAAACATGGGGTATAAATGGAGTAAGATAAATAAAGACAACGAATCATGCGGCTGCTGTCTCTCAGCAGTGAACCAAAGGTTATTCCAGCCCCTTCACTGGCTCCATGGGCTACTCAGAGTCATGGAATCCCAGAGTCGGAAGGGACCTCCAGGGTCATCTAGTCCAACCCCATGCACAAGGCAGGAAATTCACAAATACTTTCCCTCAAATACCCCCAGTGACAGCCGTTCCACGCCCAGAAGATGGCAAAAAAAACCCTCCAGGATCCCCAGCCAAACTGGCCTGGAGATGAACTGATCTGGTTATCCTAAAGACTCACAATGGAATCCCGTTCTTCAAAAATCAAAACCGAGATGCCTTCTTTCAAGCGACCGCCCCAAAAAAGGCCACAGCGCCGTTTACCTGGGAATCCAGATGAGGTCTTTCACAGGAAGGACCGTCACAGCCTGGAGGTGCCCTGCACTATCGCTGGCGGGTCCCAAATCGTTTCCCGGCCTCTCGGGGGAAAGGCCGGCTTCCTCGGACTTGTCGGGCTCCTCGCAGTCCGTCGAGAAAGGCACGCTGGAGGAGCTCATGGGGGAACTGGGCAGGCTCGAGGGAGACCTCGTCACCCTGTGGGTCACTGAGGGGGTGTGCGAGGACACGGAACAGTAGTCCGTTAGGGAGTCCTGGTGGTTTAATATCTGAGTGCCCTGCTCCGGGCTGTGGAGGATGCTGACGTCAGACAGAGAGCTGCGCTCGGGAGTGGCAGTCCTGTTTGCCACTAGCGTCGTGGTGGACATCAAGGCAGAGGGCTGCTGAACGGTGAACATGTCCCTCAGCGGGCTGCCGTCCCCACAGAAGTAGCGTGCGCACAGCTGGTAGGTGGCGGTGTAATACATGACCAGGAAGTTGGTCTCGTCGTCCAGACACCAAGCCACCTCCTCCCCGTCGCACTCCGAGCTGCAAGCGATAGACACGACTGTGGACGGGGCGTTGTAGGGCTCCAATCGCCGGGTGATCGCCAGGGTCGTGCAGTCTATGATGAGGACGCCGGGGCCGTTGCTGTACCAGACCTCCGTGCTGCTGTTTGCCGTTTCCATGGCTCTCACGGGGTACGGATTCTGGCGGGGATCATCGTCGCCGATCATGAACATGGAGTGGTTAGCCGAGCGGGAGCACAGGTAGCGGCAGGTGCTCTCGGGGACGCCGCACAAGGCTTGGAAGACTGCTATGAGTCCATCGGCCATGCCAGCCAGCACGAGGTAGGAGTTCTACGGGCAGAAGAAACTTTAAGGTGATAGAATCATAGAATCATAGAGTTGGAAGGGACCTCCAGGGTCATCTGGTCCAGCCCCCTGCACAATGCGGGGAAATCCACAAATATACCTCCCCCCACCCCCAGTGACCCCTGTTCCTTGCTCAGAAGAGGGGAAAAACAAAAACAAAAGACCCTCCAGGATCTCCAGGCAAACTGGCCTGGAGAAAAATGGCTTCCTGACCCCAAAGTGGCGATGGGCATTTCCCTGGGCGTGCAAGAAAGGGCCACGAGGACTAAGCCCTGAGGCAACCCTCCCTGCCCTCCCTTCTCGTGATCTGCCTAAGGTCAATCAGACCCCGTCAGCAGAGTGGTTAGAGTGCTGGACTAGGGCCAAAGAGGCTCGGGTTCAAATCCTCCACTCTGCCATGGCTGACCTTGGGCCAGTCCTAGATTCTCAACCTAACCGACCCTCACAGGGTTGTGGTGAGAATAAAGTGGAAGAGAAGGGAGAAGGTTGTGAGCAGCCACAGCTCCCCACTGAGGAAACTTTTGGGATATAAATGAATAAGATAAATCAATAAATAATAAAATCAGAGAGACCCAGCCCTGCCCCAGAGTCACAACAGAAAGGGGTGAAAGCTGTCGGCATGCCCCATTTTCACATGCTGATTTCTGCAATTCTATTGAGATGTAAGAGGAGAAGAAGAAGAGATTGGATTTATACCCCGCCCTTCACTACCCAAAAGAGTCCCAGAGCGGCTTGCAATCTCCTTTCCCTTCCCCTCCCCACAACAAACACCCTGTGAGGTAGGTGTCAGAACCCACAGCCAACAACGAAGTACACGCATTCAGGAACGGTAATACTTTTATTGCAGAGCTATAGGATGCAGTAACATAAGCACTGTTAAGAATAGCGGCTGCCCCATGGGCATAATAGGATATAGGGTATTCGTATGCACCCCCCCCCAGAGCACTGGCCAATTAGGCACCCTCCCGTGTGCGGGATAAAGCCTGGAGACCATTAGGTAGCTGAAGCTGAGAACCAACACTCTCCCACAGCACCTAGGAAAAACCCAGACAATACAACTCCCTCCTGCACATCTGTATAGATAAGCATTTTGGCGCAAAGCAGAACAAGCACAGAAAGGAATGCATTAGCAATTAACCAGACACAGACCGAGCTCCCCAACCCCCATGCCAGCGTAGCTGACAGTAGGTGGGGCTGAAAGAGCTCTTGACAGAAACTGCTCTTGAGAGAACAGCTCTGAGAAAACCTGTGACTGACCCAAGGTCACACCTGCAGCTGCATGTGGAGGAGTGGGGACTCAAACCCGGTTCTCCCAGATTAGAGTCTGTGCTCCTAACCAGTAGACCAAACTGTAAGGAAATCCTTTCCTGCTTTTTGAGCACGTACATAATACAGGTTTCCTCTCTTAAATCTCCTCCCCTCCATATTCATTATTTGTTAGCAACGCATGCCCAGAGTGCCACTCATGTCTCATCGATCCAACCAAACATCCATCCGGTCTAAAGGGCTTCTAATTTGAGAATGCCAGCCACACACAGAGCATTCTAGGGAGATGACTGCACAAAACCAGAGATCAGAGAAGAACTGGATCCGCACTGTGCAGAACTTCTCTAAGGCATGACCAGGACACACAATAGACTGGAGGGGCAGAGAGGGATACATTGGACTCTACACCACTTTGGACTGTGGGAGAGGGGTATCGGCAGTCCTATTTTGGGGCAGGAACGCACAGGAACGGAGTTCCGGCTGGCTCCCAAGTTGGCCTGTGACTGACCCAAGGTCACATCAGCAGGTGCGAGTGGAGGAGTGGGGAATCAAACCCGGTTCTCCCAGATTAGAGTCCGCACACTTAACCACTACACCAAACTGGATCCGCACTGTGCAGAAATTCTCTAAGGCATGACCAAGACACACAACAGACTGGAGGGGCAGAGAGGGATACATTGGACTCTACCACTTTGGACTGTGGGAGAGGGGTATCGGCAGGGCTATTTTTGGGCAGGAACGCACAGGAACAGAGTTCCGGCTGGCTCCCAAGTTGGCCACGCCCAGCAGGAACCCATTAGCATAATAGGCCACGCCCAACAGCAGGAACTCATTAGGATTGGCTACATTAGGGG